GTCACAGGAAAAGACTTCCAAAAAAAACGAGAAAAAACCAAAATAAAAAGTGTGGCCTTTGTTAACTAGGCTGAAAGCGGATCTCCACCCAGAGCAGGATGAACGTTGTGGAATGCTCATCCCACGACCTCAGTATCCGCCTCTGGGTTGCAGTAAGCCTATGCGGTTGAAGGTTTGTGGGCGGTTTGCAGGCGTGCGCCAAGAGTCAAGCCCTGAGATATTTCAAGTTTAGCTGTTCTTGACATCGTTGAGTCCAACATCTCCTCATAGCCCCTGAGGCCCTATGGAGCAGCGTGACAGTCAGTTGACCACAGGTGTAACATGCTGTTGCGCATAGCACTCAATCATTTACTACACCTCAGGCTGTACAGCGCAGCATTGACGATGGCTGGTGGGCGGATCGTCTACTACGACATGTACGAAGCGAATCTGGATTCAAGCAATGTTCTGGCGACGGTTGAACGATGTCATTTCTTCTTATCTTCTGTTTGCTGCTGTAACTTGGATTTGCTCGAATTCCCGAAGTTTGAAGCACTGACTCAGTTATGTGGTGCATGAAGGACATCTTGCACCCTATATACTTGATATGGACTTGGGTATGTCATTTCTCGAGTGGCGCAAGGCCCCCATACCAAATTGCCACTTACTTCAGGTACGACATCAGGCTGCGCCGAAGTTTAGGGTGTAAGTGTCCGGGCAGATCAAAGTCAAAAGGAGCAAATAGTGACCAGGAAAGGCTGGCGGACGACTGAAGAGGACTACCCGTGCGAAGCGGGGTCCAGTGCAACAGCAAATATGCATGTGGCACACTGCTCAGGGAGCAGAAGTGTGCTTTAATGTTGTCTCCAGATCCTGCACATATAAGACTTGATTTGCCTTAGCGGTGTGGGCACTTTGCACTTTCCTGAGAATCTGTGCACGAATATCGCAGTGTTTTGTTGATGACTTGGAGAAGAATCTGCAGGGCCTGGAACTCTTGAATGCGATTATAATTTGTTTCATCTGTTTGGTAGTCGGTCGTAGGAGCCCTGGGGTTTGTGTTTGTAGAACCAAGTGCTTGAGCCTTGCAGGAGCTTCAACAAGCAGCTGCCGATGCGTTTACAGATGGCACCAAGCTCCGTGTGCCTTGGCTTTGGTTTTTGGGTCCAGAGAGCTTTTCCAGCGGCCAGATGTAGAGTCGAGCTGGGTTCCGAAGGTTCCCAGATGCAACTTTGGAGACGTCCTTGCACGCCCGCAGTTGTAGTTGCAGAGGTCGAGAATTGTAGGGGTGGAAGCTCGATTCGTCGACAATCTTTAAGACTTTAAGATTGCTTGGGCAGCACTCAGGCTCAAAGCCAAGCCCGTTCCCTACACTGGAAGCTCGATCTACTTCTCTCCTTACATGCAGACGCATGCGCTCTGAAACTTAAGCCTTGGTGGCGCCTGAACATGGCAGCTGCTTTTGGTGAAGCCATAGCAGCTACAGCAATCAGTCCTGAACCTTGATACGGCAGGCCATCACAGTCATCAACCCCGGGAACCCAGTTGGGGCCGTCTTGGACCGGGAGGACATAGCTGCCTGGACAGCAGGGTTTGCGCTGCTGATCTGGGTCGCTTTGAGTCAGGAACTTGTCAAATCAGACTGACCTGCAAACCTTGAATGGATGAAACTTCAATTCTTGCAATTGCTGGATCTGAAGTTGTTCACGTGTATACAGCCACTGATGCAGGGCAGCCCTTCACATGATAGACACCCCATCCATGTTTTTGCATCAGCCTGCTGCAAGTCCTCAACAGACAAACGCATAGCATTACCAGCTGGGGACCCAGAAATCTTAGGTCATGATCATCAACTTCGCAACTGAGCAGAAGCTTGTGATCTTGGCGGATGAGGCGACCACCTGGCGAGACAAGGGAAACTCTCTCGCATAGGGCATTTCAAAACCCAGCTTGGGAATGATGCCCATTTCAGCCGCGCTATGCCTGCCTTTGATGCTTTGTCCCGCGTTCAGAAGACGGCAGGTGTACCAGGCGAACGTGTACGCCGAGGCTGCTTTCATCGTGGAGCCCTAGAATCCCCATACCTCTTTGCAAGCACGTCATACAGGTACCGTCTGTATTTTTGGATTCTCAAGACTCCTGTGCAAAGTTTGTGGTAGCTTCCGTGTTGCATCAGCTCCGAGTGTGAGCATAGGGCACACCAGTAATGCACAGCAAGTTTTTTTTGCAAGTGCTTGCTTGATGAGCGTGCAGTGCGCAGGGTAAGAAGTTCCACTCCTTCAAAAAAGTGCTCCGCGAGCTCCAGGCGGTGCACTTCTGAGTGCTATGAGGAGGGCAAACCGTTAATTGCAATATGTCCTAGGACTTGAGCCCCGTGACCCTCCTTTAATATCCCAGGCTTTGAGCACTCAAGATCAATTGCCAAGTCCCCGCATCAATCCCGATTGAATCCTGCCTTCAGGCAGAAGATCAAATGAGGTACAAAGAGACCCAGCTCATCAGTGGCATCGGCCTAGTTTGGGGGTGTTTGGCTCAGGGCTTTGAACCCACGTGTGGGCACAATGAATCAGAGCTTGCGGTTAAGGCTTTGGGTTTCAGGGTTTGCTGCTCCTCGCGACTTCTGGTGTGGCTTGCTTGGTTCATCATGGTACCAGGCTAGTTTCGGATTCCTGGCTTCCAGTGGCTTCTACGGAGCGGTTTTGACCCCCAAAGGCCCTAACCTTCAAAGCAAGGAAGGCAAGCTCATGTGGAGAGATTCCGAGTGAGTCCGGCGCGTGGACCCAGGCCTTCAGGCCTTTGGCAGTGATATTGGCCCCGAGTCCTTCTGTTCGGTTGAAGACAGGTTGTGTTGATCTGCCAGGTTTCCACTCCACCTCCAAGGGCATCATTGGGGAGTGCGGGCAGCGCGGCGGCTACATGGAGTACGTAGGCCTGCCTCGGATTTGCCTGCTGCAAGCAAGATGAGGAAGTCTTTGTCTTGTGGACGTCGCACTCCAAAGCGTCGCACTGATTGCAATGTGACCGTAGACCTGCAAGATTCAGCTGCACGCCCCCTGCGGCATGTCCTGGCCTTGGGAGCGCAATCGATCCTTGCCGTGGGGATCAAGCAGCTTTAGGCATCTGCTGCCATGTCATGCCTCAAAGTCCATCCTGAACAGCAAGCCAAAATAAACCACGATGCTTGCAGCCCGGGACTTTGGAGATTGAATCATGATCATTCCCGATTATGGACCTTCAGCAGACTGCGCCTCTCGGAAGCTCAAAGACCAGCGCCATCAGGACCGCTGCTGCAGGAGCCCTAACCCAAGTCTCTAAATAAATGTCAATACAGAAACAAGCACAACAAGCTTCCTGAACCGCAGCAATGGCGCTTCATGTGCTCACGCTGTCCGGCAGTCCGGTGGCTTCTTATGAGGCTCGAGAGCAGAAGGGGAGCCAAATCAAGGTGGACCTGTTGTGTGTGCAGGCCGCTGACCTGAAAGAGGGAGACCTGCAGTCACTTGTGAAGGACAACAGGGGTGCATTGTCGAAAGCCACAGGCTCTGTGGTTGTTAGCTCAGGATGTACTGCACTGGGGTTTTGATTCGGCCTAGGTGTGCCTTATGAGGTTCGGGCAGGGAAGTCGGGGTGTCCTCAATCTCGCACACGGCTGGGAATCCCTTCTCCAAAGTCTAACTTTGATTGTAACTCCTCAGCAACGAGACGTGAGGTGGAGGAAGCCAGAAAGTCAAGGGTTCAAGCGCTAGTTTGGAACCAAATCAGAACCCAATGCTTCTTGGGAACCGGCGCTCCCATGTCCAAGTCGATTTGAAGCGGGCCTTCCCATTTTCAAAGCCAGCTGCAGACAGAAACTCTGCAGGAGCGACTGGAGTCCGTGTTGCTTGCCTTGCCAGAGATGTTAAGCAAGAAAACGAGAGGCTGTCTTGATTAAGCTCGCAGTAGCCACTGTCCGCAGATGATTCTCATCGTTGCAAGCATGCGTCTTAGGTTGAGGCAGAGTCTTCTCATAGCTTCTTGTGAGGTGTAAGAGAGCAGATGGAAGTTGCTAGCCAAACCGTCAGCTGTTTCCACCGAGAAGCCCTCATTCCTGCGATGCTTGCTCCCGACGACGTAGAGCTTTGTGGCAATTGGGCTCTTCCGCAAGAATGCTTTTCTGTTGCAAAGACAAACATCTCAAAACACCTGTCAAACTTGACCTCACCTTTGGGGCCTTAATGCCTGAAGAAACATCGCAAACCCTGGAATCGAATGCAAAGCAAAAGGATGGGCCTCCCACGCTTCCGGATTCGGCTCCTGGGCGCTGGGGCCGCTCTCGGTACAGGGACCTGGGAGGAGCTGCTTTGAGCTCACGCTGAAGACACCTGATTCTCCTGTTTTGGCTGTTGGAACCTGAAGCTTGAGCACAGACTAGGAAGCACAGCAGCGCCCTACACTCCCTCAAACCAACATCCCAGCCTCTGAAATGGCCCACAGAATGCAAACCTGTCACCCATCCGAACACCCAAACCACGAGGAGTTGGGATGCCCCAGTGAGTTGCAGGCGCCATCAATGGGGGGGGGGGGGCTGGTGCGGTCAAGTAAGCCCTTTCAGGGAACATCAAGATGTCTCTGGACGCTACATCGCACAAACTGACGAAAGCTGTCAGAAGCATGGGGCTGTTTTGAGATTTCGCGCGTCAGCACGTGACCCGGAACAGATAGTCTCTCAAGCAACAGTGGTGACGCAAACCCCCCTTATGATTTGCCCAAACGCTCAGGTTGTGATACTGGACTACTGCCAAGATCAGGCAGGGTGCTGCAGTAGCCATCATTGTGTTGATCATGTTCATCATGAGAAGGCAGCGAGGTGTTGTGACCTCTTCTTTAATCGCGTATTCTGCAGGATGGGCTGATATGGCTGATAGCAAATCGAACAAGATTGTCTTTAACTAGACTGAGTCCCGGTATCAAGGCAAAAATGATCAAGTGTCCTGCGCACGCAGCAGAACTGAACACAATGAAAGCGCCATGGCATACGCTACTGCAAAGAGGTCTCAGCAAATTTTGCGACTCGGCTGGCAGCTCCGTGGTTCGAGGGGTGTCGGTAGAACGACTTCGACCGAGGTGCCCTGCCCTCTTCCTGAGTGGAGCAACTCCAGGTCCTTTTTACCATAGTCATCCTCACGTACCAAGCGAGTTCGACCACTTGGATTTCAGCATGGAGGCCCAGGTGCGGGCGAACATGACCACCATCCACAAGATCGGGAGGGCTGTTGCAAGCTATGCGCAGGATCTGCCTTTTGATGTTGGGACAGAGTGGCTGCGGTCACCGCAAATACTTCACTGGGTTTCTGGAAACGGGAAGGGGTACGAGGCGAACTATGATGTAGTGAATGGTTTGGGCCCATCAGTTTCTGCGGAGCTGGGCATGGATCAATGCGAGACACTTGGAGTTGTAGAGGTTGGTGATAACGTGAGCGATCGTCGCTTTCTGTTGGAGACGTTCGGGATGTTTCCTCTCCAAGATGCAGGCAAGGCCTCAACAGAAGGCCGATGCTTGCGCATAGACATAAAGGACGAGTTCGACTCAAAGTATTTCATGCCCTATGTCCCGGCCTATCTAGTGTATGGACAAGCTGATCTAGTACTCTTCACCTTGCGAGCAGCTGCGGGGGATGCTGGCTCCGCAGTTCCAGCTGACGGGGCTGCTCAGGTCAGCATGCTTTTCGATGAGTTGCTTACAGTTCTCGAGGTGTTGGAAGGGAGTTTCCGGAATGTTGTCCTCGGGTGGGCTCGTGTCCCTTTCCTAAATGAAGATGAAGAGGCTGTTCTGATGACGCGATCCCAGAAGGGGCTCCACAGACCACTAGCAGAGTCAGTTTTAGGCCTGGCGTCGTCTGACAGGCTCGGCGATGCACGCCCTGGGGTGCCATGGCGCCTGGAGTACATTGTACTTGCACAGATACCTCGGAAGGTAGAAGCACTTCCATGATTTGAAGCAGGCTCTTTCCAAGATGTCGGTCGATCGTTGAAGGCAGTTGTCTGGAGACTGGACCAAGTGGAGTACATGTGCTATGCTGTGCTGAGCAGATCAATCTGCCGCAGGCCACAAGCCCCGACAGCGCTCTGGAACCAGCCAGACAGGGCAAACAAGATCAAACCATGCGCGTGTGAGCAAGACATGACAGGCAACGTTACATGCCAATGGCTTGCGGTTTCGATAGCTTCCTTGATGCCTCAGTGATAGGCCTCACACCATGAGCAATCTTTTGCAATGTAATCAAGCGAGCGTGCTAGACTGCAATCTACAACATGTCTCAAGTATTGCGTGAGGTTTGCAGGTTTCCTGCTCTAGCCCTTGTTGAGTACTCACCTGGAACTCATAAGTCATAGTTGACTAGTGAAGCACCCGATCCTCAACACCTTGCATTAGCGGTGGCATGACGAAGATCCCAGAGCTGAGAGATGATTTGCAAAATGTGCCGTTCATCTGCCTTCATGGGATGAAGCACAAGCGTAAATTCAAGGAGTACGCGTGCAGAAAGTTCCTGCAGAGTATTCCCCTGTGCTAGATTTGCAGCCCACCCTACAACCTGAAACCCATGGTTCCCTATGTCATTTGAATGCAAAAGCTGAAGCCATGGCCTCTTGGTTGCAGGCCAGGAACCTCGCAGACGCTGCGGCAGCAGGCGGCGGTCGCAGTTTGGACATGTTTCTCGCTGCAACAAATTCGTTTAGCAGATTGCGGCGGATTTTTAGTTTGGCGCTTCAAGCGGAGGTGTAGGCCCTCGCTTGGGTCGTTCGAATTTGAGGTCTGCCCGTGGCTTGCCCGCGTTGCATCTGAATGCATTCCCCCAAGTCCGGGCCTGGATACATCTGGCATCGTTTAAGTCCTCAATCCTGGCGCTCCGAGAAGGAAAGTTGACCTGAGTGATCCTACCAAGGTGTAAGACGTACAGGTTTAAAACTCTTGCAGAGAAGAAACATGTGGCCTCCGGGAGAAGCTTGGAATATGGGGATCAACAACGGTAAACTTCTGTGTGTTTTTCTGGATGGTGAGCCACATTCAGTGGTATTGTTTCCGGCTTGTTTTTTGAATTACGGTTCGCTGCAAACCAGGAAGGATAGACATGGAAAGACTGTGGTTGTTGCTTGACTAAGAGTTCCATGTTGTCTGGAACAACGCAATCGCTTGCACGGAGGCGATGTGTCTGAAGTGATCCGGATCCTGGAGCTCCCACAGGACCGCACAGAGCCCTAAGCTTGGAGCCCAAGAGGTACATGGAACATCCTTCTTAGCAACAGCAGTGATGGAAGGCTGTAGGACCTACGCAAGATACACTCCTGGGCGATGTTTTAGGCATTTGGCTTGTGCTCATGGTTAAGGATGTCTGGCTGGCGTGATCGATTTGGCAGCTGATGTTCGCAGGATGTTGGGTGCCTGTGGCTTAATGAGTCCCGTGAATGCGAGAATCTGAACTGAAGGCCGGGAAGGCTCTTCACATCGCCTCCAAGGTTGCTCAAACCTTTCTGATTGGCAAAGGCTCAAACTCGCAGCATGACATCATGACTTATCAGTCTTTCATTCTTCCGATGTTTCTGCACTTCGCTATTGACATTGATTAAGCTCTCAATACTTCCTTCCCCGACGCTTCCAGGACCCAAATGCAAAGCTCTTGCACTGTGAAGAGGATGAGGATACAGAGGAGGACCGTCCAAAGTCATTGTTTAGCATGGCCGAAGCGAACTGGGTGTCGGATTTAGTCTGTTGTATGTAACTGTGACTGGAAGGCACTGCAGAGTTTAAATCATGGGTTGCCTTGCCCCCCCCCCCCGCATACTACCTTTGGGTTGCTCAGAATTCTCCCTAAATGATATTGGGGCAGAACCCTGACAGGAATGTAGGAACAGCCAGACACATCTGAGAACAGTGTCAAGAAGTTTCAAGAATGGATTATCGCATCACATTTACACCAGTCCGGATG